CGCCCTTGCGATATGCATATTGCGATATTTACATTTGCGATATTTCGATGCATGCGATTTATCGTGCAGCCCTAACACACACACATTTATTTTTCTGTATAAATATATTGTTTCAACCACTAATTACCTAATTTTGATGTATTTCTTAATGGGGACACTAGATTTGCACAGAAGACAAATGCTTTTTTTGACTGTTGTCATTGCTGTCATCAGATTACTGAGGTTCTTGACATGTGCGATTTGATTTTTTGTCGAAGATACAGGATTTGCCATTTTCAGAGAGTTTAATTATATGTTCATGTTATATTTTGACTGCATTTGTGAGTTAAAAAAAAATTTCAACCGGGCACGTAACATCGTAATATTGATAAATCGATCGCAGACCCCTGAATCTATTAACTAACCAAATCACGGCATGTTTCAAGTTATTGGCAAATATTGTATCTCTGGCTAAGAAAACCAATACCAGATGTACACCCCTATAAGTTAGTATGCTGCATAGTTAAGGCAGATGCCTATGTAGGCAAGTTACCTCACTAGGTTTTGGAACAGAACTAGAGAAACCAGCACAGGCCTGTGTTGCTATGTCACAAAGAAGGCACCTATGTAGCAGCAGAATACAATACAACAGTGCAAAATGACAGTGAATCACAGTGTTATAAGAGTGTTTGTCTATTAATTTGAAATGTGATAATTTGTTATTCTGTGAGAGCGTTTTTTTTTTAAATATCTTTGCCTAAAGGGAAAAATGTACCTTACTATGAGCGATCAAGACGAATACATCTCCACTCTCAGAAAAATGCACAGACATCTAAGGACTCACAGTTTGATAGCAGAGCACAGTCACATATCTGCACTCGTACACACACATTTAGACGTATGAACACTCACAGAACACAGTAGTGTAACGAGATCTCTGCTCTTCTCTCTCTCCTGACATTCCTGTGTGTTATTTCAGTGATAGGACTTGCACGGTATACAATTTGAGACGGCATATTCTGATCTGATCTGCAGATTTCTGGGAAAGGCAGTATTCAGCCCAGGGTTTCCAAATGGGTCCGCTCATTTGTGATTGGTCAGTCTTTGTTCTGACACTGTGCACTGTGGGTATTCTGTGGCACTTGGTACAACTGTCCCTCTGTGGGTGTGGCTTGATCAGATGTGCTCTTGGGTGTGTCATAGGCTGAGCTTGCTGATTGGCTGCTGTCTGTCCGAGCCACTAAACTATGCCCTCTGAATGGTAGAGTGCCTCCTGATAGGTGGTTAGCCCTGTCAATCATGATTGGCGTGGCGTATTCAGTGCCAGAAGCAGGAAGGGGCTCAGCGTAAGCATGGTAATGTTCCACGGGAATAGGTGCATCATACTCGGGCCCACCGGCCTCTTCGGGCTTAAACGTTGACCTTTGTCCAAGAGAGGCCATAGTACCGGTGACAAGAGGTTGGGTGTATTCTATATGGATGGGCAGAAATTAGATTGTTCAAAGGTTTGTTGGAGAACATAAAACTAATTTGACCAGTTTGTTTGAATGCATACCTGCATGCTCCACCCGGGGTCTCTGGTGGTCCACTCGTGCCGAGGAACTGTAACGAACACAATCGTCTCCATCCAACTTAGAGGGCAGCAACTGTTTCATACTCTTCCACCACACTGAAACACACATTCATGCATGTTTAATAATTAATGTAGGTGGAAATGCAAAAGAGTAAACAACTGAGAACAGACGCACCTGTGCGCTCCCACTGTGGAAGGTCATAAGTCACCTCGGGGCTTTTTCTGTAGGTTTGAATACAGATGGTGAAGATATTATCTCAAATGGGTTGTCCTTTAAGGCTATTCGCATTAAGTTTAAATTTTCATGAACAACAAGGTTTTAATATGAGGCTAAACTATTTTAGCGTAATGATCTCTTGGTGATTTTTTAAAACTATTCAGATATCAAATAATTTGTTGAGATATTGAAATGTTGTACTGACCTGTTCTTCCACAGCCATGAGCACACCATCACTAACACCAGGGTTGTCAGAACCACCACCAATACAGGAACCAACACTGCCACCAGCGCCACCTCTGTTACATTTACACAGCACATTAATATCATCAATCTTGTGTTAGCTAAGTTATCAAAATGTAGTTAAATATTAAAATGTATACTGTTTTGTCTAAATAAATGAAAAATAAAACACTGAAATCAAGATGCTGCAAATATACTGATAATAAATACTTTATTCAGTATTAAACAGGAATGAAAGATGGATACAACTAATTAAATTTAAGCTATTTCACCCATTTTTTGATTGATTTGTATTTTTAGTAATTATAGCTGTTAACTTGGCAACATGCTAAAATGAGAATCAACTGGAATTAACAGTAAATCCTAAATGTGTGCACTTCATATGAGAAGCATGTGAAAAGCAAGTTTGCTGCCTACATAAAACATCATAAAACGTCATTTTTGAGGTTCCATTTCACAAAGAATGCTCACAAAGAATGTGCTTTTGCCTTCCAGTGTGCTGCTTTTTCATTGTTTTTCTATGTAAACAAAGTGTTTGACCATCGCATTCACTGCTAGCTCATGACAGCATTCTAAAAACCCGGCGGGCAGGTTAAAAGAAGTTTAACTTTAAAAAAAAAAAAAAACATCTCTAGGCCTTGAGTTTTTTGTCATTCAACAAAATGTTTTTAAAAAGCGCATTGTGTGTGAATGAATGGCCCCGAAGAAAGTAGATGCCTATATAGACAGCAAGGCAGCTCACTTTATTACAAAGCTCATATGTTAAATAACTGAATGAACTATGTTCTTACCATCGTGAGAGTGCGGAGGCATGGCGGTGTTTCGGATGTTGGGCGTGTGTGTCGTCCTCTCCTGTAGGGGGGGCACTGTGCTTTTTCTGCGAGGGGGAGGAGGGGCTGGATGGAAGATTCTTGGCCTCGCTGACCAACATAAAGAGATCCAATCATGTTTAGCACAGATAATTGGCCAAAAATGAGACTGATTTCTCTGATTTGTCTCACCTGCATGAGGTTGGCAGCCCAGCAGCTCCATTTTAAGGGCGATCCTCTGGTGCCACTGCAAGGGACATATTCTGATAAATCGTGCTTCAATTGGAGGAATAAAGTTGTTCCGCACTTCCTGGAGATAGTTGGTGTTGCCTTGGAAAATCTGTTACAGAGACACAAGGACACATTGTCTTGGCAACAAAGAACATTTGGCCTCAGACCAAGGTCCGTCTTATTTACGCCTAATCAATGCGGTTCTCGTTAAGCTCCCTGACAGTCGATGGACATTCATTATTAATGACCACAGAGTGCACTTTAATTTCAGGCTCCTTAAACCTCAGGAATGTAAAACCCTTTTTCCTGGAAATATACAAACTGTGATGTCATTCTGCAGCAGTTCCATAATACCCCCAAACACAAAAGAAGACTGGGCAACAAAACACATGGTCTGCTTCAAAACCTACTGAGCTGGATATGCTAGACAATGCATGGTGCCTTTTAAGATACCTTGTTTTGGCCAAATTCAATTGCATTGCATCGCATCGCATAAAATGAAATACAAGATAGTGGATAGGGGAAATGTTGAGAATAAACCACCCTAGATTTCATTTAATAATTACAAAAATTTAAATAAAATGTAATCCCAAATTTTACCTAATATTACATCCTAGCATCAGGGTAGTAGCAATATCTGTTGAAATGAATTGAAAGTCAAGTATTCTGTGCACAGTGGTGTTGCTGCCAATGTAGAGCATTCCAAATCAGTAATTTATAAAGTTTCTGAGGGTTAGGATCCTTTCTTAAAAGATTTTGGAACAGAGTTAAGCTAACACAATACAAACAATCCTCCATACCTTGTTTTTATCTGATCCCACTTCTTGGTAAGGTTTCCATTGCTGTCCATCATGGCTATATAACACCTCATAGGCTGAAATGTAAAACTGATATTCTTGGAGGCTGGAGCCAGTGGTGGTAATACCTGAGAAGCAGAGGCAAATGACTGACCAATCAAGATACAGATGCAAACACACTGATCCTTTCTTTCTCGCTCTCACACACACACACACACACACACACACACACACACACACACACAAACTCTCCCTGTTATTTTTTTCTCTGATCCCACTTCTTGGTAAGGTTTCCATTGCTGTCCATCATGGCTATATAACACCTCATAGGCTGAAATGTAAAACTGATATTCTTGGAGGCTGGAGCCAGTGGTGGTAATACCTGAGAAGCAGAGGCAAATGACTGACCAATCAAGATACAGATGCAAACACACTGATCCTTTCTTTCTCGCTCTCACACACACACACACACACACACACACACACACACACACACACAAACTCTACCTGTTATTTTTTTCTCTTTCTTCAAGTCCACTTGAATCCATTCTTTTGTGTCGCTGTTGGCTGCTGCCCACGGACGTCCTGGTGTTTTGAGGCGAGCCCCTGTGGGGCCCCAGACAGTGGGCTCCTTTCCGTGACCGCCCCATTCCCACTCTGAGGAGGCTGTGATCTGAGAGTGACTGACCACCCCCGACTCCAAACCCAAAGTGCCATAGCAACCTTGAAGAGAGAGAAAATGAAAGGTTCTATTATTAGATCATCAAGGTGTTGGGCATTTCTGTAGAAGTGACAGGAATAAAGAAAAAAACTGCATTTTTAAATCTTTATTAAATAAAAGTATATACGATCTCTATTATATTTCTGCTTTTTATTATTAAATAAAAGTTATAATAACATAATTTTTGATACATTACTGATTCACTCACCGCTAGTCTTGAAAGTAAAAAGGCTGGGGGAGAGATTTCCACTGTAAGAGGGAGAAAGATGCAGAGCTGTCATTCTGTCTACCAATCAATCAGTTTATTACATAGATGGAAAAAAACTCAAAGAGAGAACTCAAATGGAACTAGATTTGCATTTCCAGAAAGACATACCAGTGCTTGCAAGGCAGCAATAATTTTTAATTAAAATTTAATAAGTTTAAGGTTTGGGTTTTTATTCTGTGTAAATGAAATGCTGCATCAGAGATGCTTTGCACACAGCATGCATCTAGTTTTCCATTGGCTGTGCATGAGAATCAACAAACAACACAATATCATCTTCGCGGTGTAGACAACCACAGATAGCTCTAAATAAATGCATCCAGTATGTAAATGTTAAACTGTCGTTTAAGCTGTGTTCACGTCATGTCGGAATTACCATAATTACCAGATGACAATTTAGAGCAGTTCAGGTCCTCTGACTCAGAAAGTATTCGTTTCTATGGCAACGCACGATTCATAATGAAAAGATGAATCCATGTGCCGCTTTGTTGTTTATAAGCTCTATTCGCACGGGATTAGTATTACCTGGTGACCTCCAGTCATTTGTAATAATTGCGGAGGTTGTCTGTGATCTTAATCCCGTGCGATTCGGCCATGTCTGTAATTTGTAAAGTAAAAATTCCCCCGCAAATGACCTACCATATTTTGCCGAACACCGAGGTCCTGTGATAATATTAGTCCCGTGCGAATCGGCATCTCTGTGATTTGACCAGCATTTGGCGGGTTGTATATCATTTTTCGAGGTTTGTGTTTCCTGTGCGCCTTTTTATCCATCTTTCGCGAAGAAGTTGCGTTGGAGTGTTTGATAGTATTTTGGGTGCCGTCATATCGCTACACCATACAATTTGCAGAAAGAGAAAGCTGAAAAGGTTTTGAGGTTAATGTGTTACATATTATTATACAAAAATATATTAGTTAATTTTTTTTAAATCCATCTAACCGGACCATAGAACGGGACTCTCAAAGCCTTGTATCCGGGAGATAAGTCAGTAAATTCTAGTTAAATCACAGGCTTCGCTTAATCCTGTGCGAATGCACCACACGAAATTCAGATGTGGGGGGGTAATTTCAAAATCACACAAGGTCGAAGATCCCCAGATAATACTAATCCCGTGCGAATAGGGCTAGTACTTAATTCACTACATTAATTCACCTCTATACGCTCTTGCAAAATACTGGAGAACAAAAAAAATAATTATATGACTATAATAACTATAATATAATATAAATAAAGCTTAGATCAAATTTATTTTGCAACTTGTAATTGGAAGTTCAAGAAAGACGGTTTCTACTTTTAATATACATCTTTTAATATATAATATTTACTTTTTAATATACATTTTTAAATCCCCCCCACACAGACAGACAGACAGACAGACAGACAGATAACGTAACTGATTTGCAGAAAGACTCAGAAAAGGATATTACGAGGAATTTCAATACTACACTGCCTTGCAAGCCCTGTAATCAAATGTAATAGATTTTCCCATGAAGAAAGCAAGCAAGAATGCAAATGGGTTACTCACGGCACAGATGTCACATTGTTGGCCAGTGAGCTTTCGTAGTGTGGGATGCCTTTGCTGCTGACCACACTGATTTGCCCCCCCAGAGTGTTGGACACCACACCCGCATGAATACCGGCCAGACAGAGAGGAGAAGACTGCAGAAAGAGATGGTGAGACATTAAGACAGCTGACACTGACTCACTCACCTAAAACCCACAAGCTGTGACTTGGCACGATGAGGTCACATCCTTGAAGCAGAACTGCAGTGGTATAGAATGTGATAAAGATAAAGAATGAACTGTGATAAAGAATGATCGATGATTCATTAGACTAACTTCTTCCAGAGTTTAGAATGAGACTTACACAAAAACATGCACATATAGTGTTCTCACAGGCCACATACACACTGCAAAGTTTTGGGAATCACAAAAACGTATATGATACTATTAAAAAATGTGGGCTCTTTAAGTTTTATTTTTTAAGAAATTAATATTTTTTATTCAGCAAAGATGCATTAAATTGATCAAAAGTGACAGTAAAGATATTGGTAATGTTACAAAAGATTTCGATCTCAAATAAATGCTGTTCTTCTAAACCTTCTATTAATCAAAGAATCCTTAAAAAAATCAGTTTCCACAAAAAAATTAAGCAGCACAACTGTTTTCAACGTTGATTATAATAAGAAATGTTTCTTGAGCACCAAATCAGTGTTTTTAAATTATTTCTGAAAGATCTTATAGAAAACAGTCATTTTAAATTGTGATAATACTTAAAATTATTACTCTTTTATTAATATGAATAATACTTTTTCACAATATTAAATTAGTGCAGCCTTAGCAAGCATAAGAGACTTCTTTCAAAAACATAAAAAAAAAAAATCTTACCAACCTCAAACTTTTGAACAGTAGTTTATTTGTGGGAATAAATCTCCTAAATGATCTTTCAGTTGTGTACAGAATAAATGAGTCGCTCTTATAAACTCAGGACTGCTAACATATTGGTAAGTAACCATAGCAACATATGATGTGTTTTTCAAGAAACTAACATTAGTGACCAGAAATGCATTATTATTATCCTGTAATTCTCAGTAAACTACAGCTGACAGACATCCACCATTTAATTTGCTCATTAAAGGGATAATTCACCCAAAGCTGTCATCCTTTAATCACCCTCATGTTGCTCCAAACCTATATGACTTTATTTCTTATGCATGTGGAAGACAATTTGTTTTTGTTTTGTTTTTATGTTTTTTTAACTGTTTTGGTCATGTAATGAATGTCATAGGGGTCCAAAAAATAAGAATTTCATTGTATACACTTTTTCCAAAATATCATCTTTTTTTCTCAGGAGAAAGTCAGTCATACAGGTTAGGATTGACACAAGGTAAATGATGACAATTTAAATTTCTTCTGCTTCTGCTTTTTTTTCTGCTCTCCTTTTGAACATTTGAAACCAACTGAAAAATTGGCTGTCAATGTGAATTCTTAATGAATTCAGTTGTCAGTTGCAGTCGACGCTCAAATAAATAACCAGATATGTTTGTGTCCATTAAAAGAATCAGGTCAGATGCAACTTGGAATTGGTTAAGTTTCAGTTGTGAATGTTGACTATACAACGTTATTCTGCCTGCATTTTGTGGACTACTGATGAAGAATAGCGATAAAGCTTGCCAGAAAATACAACTCATTTAGCAGCTTATGAGGTGACAGGAAATGTACCACATTTGCCATCTGCTGCGGCAGCGCATAAAGGACAAAATGCAAGTATCATTTACACACCTAATGTGCATTCTTCCCTCTATTTTGTTGAATTAGGGTCTTAAAAGCTCCCTGTCTTTCTTAATAACTTGCCTAATGTGTCCAAGGCCTCCACAATTAATCAAATAAACAAATCAAGATTATGTTTACAACAGAAATGTCTGCTGTGCATGTGAACACAATATAATCAAACGTCATATAGGCCTGTCAAAAAATAAACAGTTCTAATAAACAAGTTTTAAACAATCTGATCCACAGATGCGTGTTTTATGGCGCACATATATTTGTGGTAGCACTGGAATACATATCATGCTGAAATCACAATTTCCAAACTCATAACTTCAAGGACTTCAAGAAAATAACCACATCTAACTTCAATGTGTATACGGCTAGAGCCATATAATAGTGGAATAATAGTAAAATTGCTAGTTTAAAAAGAAAAAAATGACAGTTCTGATTAAACAAACACACACATTTGGGACTCCAAACCAAAAAGAGACCACACACACTAGGCAAACTCTCAACACCCACACACAACGACACCGCAAACATACACCACTTCCTCTGGGCAAAATAAAACTCTGCTCTTGCCACAAACAACGTTGCACACACACACGTTCGTAAAGGCGTCATATGGGCCCCGCACTAATTCTGAGGGTGTGTCTGAGCTGAGAAACAAGACTTGTCAGCTGGTCTGCATTAGAAAACCATTCAGCCAAACCTGATCTAACATCTCCCAGAGAAATACGCTGTCATACACACATACATCCAGACGCACATACCAACACACCCCTAGGAGACCAAGAGCTCTAAAACTGACATGCATAATCATTTACAATGACTCAACTTCAAAAGAACGTCTGCTTCTCACTCTGTCTTTCCCTCAAACTCATATTCATACACCCTAAACACTGCGTTCAAGTTTGAAGCACGCTCTCAAGAAGTTAACTGCCTATTGTGTTCAAACTGACAAAATGAAATCATCTACAGTTTAAAGCATTAAAGCAGTGATGAGGTCATCAGCAATGACGGCTAAGACAGTGTGCGGTCGCTCTAAAAGAAACATTCTTCTGTTAAACAGCATCTGCCAGCATCTGTGACATGCTTTTGATTACCACAGACAATAATTTAGACTCATACCTTAATTTGTAAAAACATTAGATGAAGCACTTATACACTGGAAGCCTGGTAACAAAACAGGCAGAACTGGTAAATTCAATAAGTGTTTCAAATACGCTGTTGCTTTAAAACTATAACCAAACAGTTAAACATCACGTGTTAGCATGATAGTTGTGTGATATAATCATTTATTTGTGCAATTGTGCAATTTCAAGAGTTTTCTAACCAATTTACTAAAAAGATGCAATTCATTGAATAAATAATTTCTAAGTGAATACCTTCTAACTTACATCAAATACATACTCCTTAAAGAATGAAGGACACTTTTATAAACGCTTCTTAAGAATGCAAAGAATTCAGCCAGAACATTTCAAACATGAAGCCATAGAGAATACTTTACTCTAAAGAGCTTAATGACCACAGTTAAAGAGGAAGAGGTAAAAATCATATAATGCAGAAGCAACAGCACCCGCACTTCTTGTGTCCCTGAGCGGTGTCTGGTATTTCCGAGCCAGATCTTCTCAGAGAATTCAATGACAGTCATTCACAGTGGTTCTCAAGTTGAGAGCTCACTGGAGGAGAAAATAATCAGAGAATAATGAAATGATAGTCAGTTTCTTCATACAGTGTAGGAAGGCTTGAAATATAGTGCACAAGTGACCGTTCATAACTTCTGAAGAGAAATAGCACAGACAATGGACAAGGATTAATCTTTCTAGTGCACGTGTGTTTGCACAGACTATACTTTGAATACTTTGAAAGTCTACTGCTGCATCCCAATTTGCCTACTCATACTATGCCCTAAAAGTATTTTGTGAAGAAAAAATACATACTTTTGAGTGTGTAGCAGAAAACTAGGCAAGCTTTGGGACATACTACTTTGTCATAACTGCTTCTTTACCGTACCAATCTGTTGCTTAGTTACGTGCATCCTGTCACTGTTTAAACTGCCCTGTCAATCATCCTGTCACAGTTAACATACATCAGAATTCGTTTCAATTAATTTCCGATGGTACTGGACAGAAATGAAGTAGTATGTTGACCTGCCAGTTGTGGGTCTTTCATGACAAGAAGTCTCCTCATGCATTTGCATAATGATGAATTTTGATAAAGTTTACGACCAAACGTATCTTTATAAAAGGTTACAATACTGTTGCAGATGAAGTGTAACGGGGATAACATTAAATATATTTTTTGTCAGGTTAAACCACTTTATCCAAACCTCTCTACTTAACCATCTTCTAGCATATGCACCATGTTTGTAGTTTTTAACACTTTTTATTAATGTTTGTAGTTCTAATCAAATCCTTGTCCAATGCAGTGGGTTGTGGGGAATATTAGCCGTTAGAATGTGCTTGGATCTGCACTTTGACTTACTATGATTTGGGACACATTAATTCTAATTTTGAATACTATTTAGGATGGTAGTATGCGAATGGGGATGCAGCATATGTGTTCGACTGTACATATGCGCTAGCATTCGCATCAAAACCATAGTATACTTTGGGCTTAACACATTACTAAAAATGTCTCCTTTCCTGTTCTTTAAATAAAGTCATACAGGTTTGAAACAACATGAGGGTGAGTGAATAATAACAGAATTTTCATTTTTGGCTCAACTAACCCTTTAATCCAACATCCACTCAGTAGTGGCATACTTACATCTCTGTATCCATGCGGTATGGTTCCCGAAACCTCTCCGAAATCAGTCAGGCATCCAGCAGGACAGAATTTACTGCAAATGCAGGATGGCAAAATGAGACACAGACACACATATACGCAAGAACATGCACACACACACACCCCAGACAGCTTTAAATGTGTGTACCTGAACTCCGCTTCACTGAAGTGCTTTCCTTTTTCCAAACAGGTGATGAGGTCTGAAGGATGAGAAAAGAGACACATTTTCTTTGAAACCTCTTGAAATATATTTACCTCTGTCAGATAAAGCAGCACATCAGATGGTTGCCATGGTGACACTATATTGATTAATGTCATCCTTCCACACAAAGATAATATGCAGTTGTATATGTGTGTGTTATGAGCGCACTGGCCATTCAGTAAGTGGTGTAACAGACTGGTGTATTGTGTTTCATTTTTGTGGATAAAAGCCTCCATCTGAATGAACAGATCAATACCAACTAGATTTACATCCGTTATGCTTTCCCCAAGAAAATATGAGTGGTGCTCGCCCATGCAAAACTTCCTGCCACAATGCTGGAATGTGTATGACCGTGTGCGCATTTCAGGTTCAAGGTATTTTGTGGTGTTATTGTACCCATTACTCACACCCACAGCATGGATTCATCTGTCTCTTTCCTGACTCATGGGAAATATGATCTCTCTCTCTCGCACACACACCGTCTCTGAGTGCTGGGGTAAACAGGTGTAGCTCCCACATGGCAGTGCAAACCCCTGACCTCAGACAGCTCCAGAGGTCAAAGGGCAAATGTCATTGTTAAGATACATCAAACACAGAAGTGCATAGCTGTGATTCCAAAGATTTGGAGGCTCAGGATGTGCCATGCTCTACAGAGCACCTTCACAAATGTGCTTACACAACAGTTTGAAACTTTCTGCAGCATTCGACATTATTACAAAAAATAACTATCACTTTTTCTTATGCTTTGGGCATTAGAGCTAGTTATTTGAACAAACCCCTAACACATGTCTACACCAGACACGAGTGACTATACTATACACACGCAGCCAGATTTTTCTAAAAATCTTCTGTACTAATTAGTACTAAGACTGGCCTGGTCTGTTGTTTCACAGTCGAAAAAGAAACAGAGACAAAATCTATGTAATTTAAATCTATGTAACAAATCATGAAATTTGAGTAACCAGACAAAGCTACAACAAAACAAGTAATGCAAATGTCTTAAAACTGTATTGTACAGTCGTGGCCAAAAGTATTGGCAGTGACACAAATTTGCAAAATTTGCTACTTAAGCTGTTGTGGTGTTCATTCACATTATTTTTTACAAGTACTGGCATTTGGCAGTGACATAAACAATTTGAATGAACACCACAACAGCTTAAGTAGCAAATGTAGCAAAACACAAAATTTATGTCACTGCCAATACTGTATGTATACAGTATACAGTATACCTGTATACAGGCCACGACTGTATGTCTTTTATTTTCAGATTACTCTTGCATTATTAAGACATTGGACAGATGATATAGACAAAATAACTGCTTAATGGGATAGTTCACCCAAAAATTACCCAATGATTTACTCACCCTCAAGCCATCGTAGGTCTATATGACTTTCTTCTTTCAGACAAATCCAATCGGAAAATGTCCTGGCTCTTCCAAGCTTTATAATGACAGTGAATGGTGGTTGAGATTTTGAAGCAAAATAAAGAGCATAAATCCATCATAGAAAGTGCTCCACATGGCTCTGGGGGGTGAATATAGTAGGCCTTCTGAAGTGAACTGATGCATTTGTGTAAGAAAAATATCCATATTTAAAACTTTATAAATCGTAATCTCTAGCTTCTGCTAACTGCCGTACACTCGTTCACGATAGAGTGGCGTTCCAGCGGATGACGTAGTTAGGACGTAGGCGTAGTGTAAGCTCCGGTGAGAAGTGACAAGGAGAGAGCAAAACAAAACATCGGTCACGAATTAGAAGTACAAAACGAGGATTTGTAAAGAAAAATGGCAGAGGATTTCGATATAAGCCAAGAGTAGGCTGATTTTCTTTTGCTGTAAACAAAACTTCTCATTCTCGCAAGACTAGCATATTCTCTCTAGAGCTTACGCTACGCCTACGTCATCCGCTGGATGCCACTCTCTCGTGAACATGCGTACGACAGTTAGCGGAAGCTAGAGATTACGATTTATAAAGTTTTAAATATGGATATTTTTCTAACACAAATGCATCAATTCACTTTAGAAGGCCTTTATTCACCCCCCAGAGCCGTGTGGAGCACTTTTTATGATGGATTTATGCTCTTTATTTTGCTTCAAAATCTCGGCCACCGTTAACTGCCATTAAGAGCCAGGACATTTTTTTAATATAATTCTATATTGGTTACAACTGAGTTTGTTATTTTATTCGTCTTTATCATCTTTATTATTTTAATGCAGAGATTTAAACTATAATTATTGCTGTTATCTATGAAAGAAAGGCAGAGCTTTATAGTGTTTTTTTTAGATACCCAATTACAGTCAAAAAGTACATAAACAATCCCAGCAAGAATGCAAGCGGTTATGAAGGGCATAGGAGGCCTTTTTTTATGTGAAGAAATACTGTTTAGTTGTTTAAGTTTATTTGCCCAATAAATGACAATAACATTTTTTTATTTAAAGGGGTCCTTATGCTTTTTCACTTTTTCAACTTTAGTTAGTCTGTAATGTTGCAGCTTTCCCAAGGCAGACGAACTTAGAGTGGTACTGGTTACAATCATCCGGGTTTAAATCGCGCTAAAATTTATTTGATTTTGATGCAATATTTACACTGAAGCTCGCAGGCGGCTATGGTAAGGGGCATGACATTTCCCGACCAGGCGCCGAGTGGTGCTAATCACAACACACATTGGCCCAGCTAACCAATCACAGCACACACTGGCCCAGCTAACCAATCACAGCACATTTCGTATTTCAGAAGGCGGGCCTTCATTTGATACAGGAACTATTCGAGCCGTTCATGCCAGACTGGGGAGAGAGGTGTTGTAACAATGTAAAATATGTGAAAAATAATGTGTTTTTCGAACAACCTAGTATGAGAGCCTGTTCTAGTACACCCCCAAAACAAAATCAAGACTTTGTAAAAGAGCATAATAGGACCCCTTTAAACAATTTTTTGATAGATTCCTAAAATTCCTAAAATGTGTTTTCTCTTTATTATGGCAGGTGGTCTAATAAATTGTTAAGGACTGTATGTTTTCATAGCATTCAGTTGGCACGTTTGTTTGAAGGACATTGGGCAGAATGTGGAATAGTGTGTTTTTTGTCAATAAAATAAAAAATGTTATAAAATTATAAAAATGTATAATAAAAATCTGATTAATCGAAAAAATGATCGACCAACTAATCGATCATCAAAATAATCGTTAGTTGCGGCCCTACAATTAACCTTGACTTGACTGGACTTGACTTTCTAAGCAATCTGACTTGCAATGTAAATCCAACAGACACTGAAGGAGTGGCCCGAGCTACCACTAGGGACCAGAATACGGATTTGGCAATAAGCAACATCCCACAACACCTTAGCAACATGGAATCCAGTTTCACACATGAAAACATTAACATTAGCAAGAAAGTGGGAAAAATCAACTTGCTTAGATGCATTCCTAACACTGTGACATCTTTGTACAGTATGACACAAGAACCAACAGCCATTACATAATTTCCTCTCATTTTAAATGACTTTAAATTATTGGCTCATCTGTTAAATTAACTGCCGGTCATTCATAAGCTCTCTGGACACACCCTGGAACCAGGAAAAACCCTAACACCCTTACAGTCAGAAACATACTCCTGAAATAATCTTTCTAATCAGTTTCATATGACGACCCTCAGTCTCATCTGAACAAACACACACACAGTTGCCATAGCAGCTCCTTTTTGCATCTTGAGACACATCCAAGCCTACTTCAACACTAATTCATACAAACACAAGCTTTCAAACATACAGGACAATAAGAACACGACAATAAGAACACAACCATTTTTTTTTTAGAAAGCAATACTTTTATTCCGCAAGGATGCATGATTAAATTGATAAAAAATGACAGTAAAGACATTTATAATGTTACAAAAGACTTCTATTTTAAATAAATGCTGTTCTTTTGACCTTTCTATTAAAACAATTCTGAAAAAATTTAATCACCGTTTTAACAAAACACACACACACACACACACATACATATATATATATATATATATATGGTTACACTTTACTTGAAGGGGTGTGCATAAGACTGACATGACACCTTCATAATCATGACATGACACCTACATAACCATGACATGACACATGTCATGAATATGAAGGTTTTTTATGCATGTTTATGACAACTGTCATTAAGTGTCATTCGCTCAGTTATGTAATTTTTAATGCAAAGATGACATTGTTTGAGATGTCTTTGTTATGGGCTATGGTTAGGGGTAAGAGTAGGGGTAGGGTTAGGTTAGGTCAAATAATGTCATATTTGCATTAAAAATGACATAACTGAGCGAATGACACTTAATGACAGTGTGGTCCACTCATGAACTGCACTGTGACCTGATGCCCCTCAGAGTGTATAACAGCATCTCTCCATTCTCTCCCTCCACAAAACTTCACTGCAGAGAGAGAGATGGGATTCATTTTCAGTTATTTTCCACTTACTCATCAGCACTCCATACATTAGTGGGTGGTTTTGCTGCCATTACATAGGCTGTTTACACCTGGTATTATAGTCGGCATAAAATGGAAATTGCAAACATCTTTTCTTCTCATTGTGACATATATACAAGTAAACAACATATTTTTACTTTATAGTATAAAATATTATTTTCACATTAAGTTTACTGCCAGTGTGAACTGCTCAAAATTTGTTTACAGTATACTGTTCGTTACTCTTATTTTTAATTTATTTGGTTTATTTGAAATTATTTCTTGTTTTTACGGTACTGTATAAGGGATTGTAAACTTAATTTAGTTACTTATGCAATAATAACTGCTGTCATATAATGACAATAAAGATATTTAATTCAATTCAACACCGCAGAATTTCATATTTGACTTTAACATCAGTTTTTGGCAACTTTTGGACAACACATTTTATTAATACCAGGTGTAAATAAGGCCATGGATTACATAAGTCTTGAAAAGACAAATGACTTTATTCCCAGCATAAAGTAGATTTTTTTCTCGATTTATATTGGAAGTACAAATTTGACTGAAGACCAGGAAAAAACAACAACAACCGATTCCTCACCAATTTCCGTTCGCCCTGGACCGTGGCCGTTATAGAGTCGCAGGTAAGACACCTGGCAGTTGTTTGTGTCTATGTCAAGATCCGCAATGCGCACAAGGATTGTGTGTCCAGTGGTCACGCTGATCTCCCATTCACACACGCAGTTTGTGGGATAGGACAGAGGGTACCCCAGAGACGCCAGGCTTCCACTGCCCACATCCAGCACTGTGTGTCCACAGCCGTCCCCTGAAAAACATCCAGAAATGATCAAGCACTCTGCAGAGCTCAGATTCTAAGGTACTTTGATATATACATCATGCACCATGATGTTAAGAAGATACTACTCCAAGGTAATATAATTTAACAAGATAACAGCATGGAACTCTTTATTAGTGTTATGGAAATTACAGTCTAATCTGGATGCGGTAAACTAAGGTTTGATAGAGTGTCCAAATGTTGGTTTAATTATGCACATAATGTTTTGTCACTTAAAACTAAAACTTAATTTGGTGAAATGTTTTGCTTGAAAATTGTGCAGAAGAGCTCCTTGTTGAATCTTTAGAGGTGGAGAGAGAGAGAGAGAGAGAGAGAGAGAGAGAGAGAGAGAGAGAGGTGAGAGCGCATTGCATTGCATTGCAGCTGCTTGCGCTGCCTGTCACGCGTTTACACACCGAATGAAACTCAGCTTGCGCTGTTGTTACGTAATCCTTGCTGGACAATATTCAGACCCCCGGAGCAAAAACAACAGCCCCATCCACACACACACACTCAATGTTTCCCCTAGCTTTGCTCCACCCATACAAACCTTATATTTCCAGAGTTTTATGCACAGAAATTACTGTCAGCTATTTCAGATAACTCTGAAAATAAGAGAAACGGGCTAATTTTCATGTTTCACTGAATTTTTCTTGTTTATACTTTAATTCAGCAAGGTTTCAATTTAATTCAGCAAGGTATTAAATTGATCAAAGCGACAGTAAAAACATTTAATAATAATGTTACTAAAGATTTCAATTTCAATGCTGTTCTTCAGAACCTTCTATTCATCAAAGAATTCTGAAAACAATTGTATCATAGTTTCTACAAAAATATTAAGCAGCACAGCTATTTTCAACATTGTTCATAATAAAAACTGTTTCTTGAGCACCATATCAGCATATTAGAATGATTTCTGAAATTTCATGTGATTTTGAACAATATTTCAGACACTTTCAGCCATTTCAAATAATGATCAGTATGAGACTGTGGCTAGTTGTCACGTGTTTCCCTGACTATATTTCTATATTTTCTCTAGGTTTCTATTTAAAATCCAGTTTCTGTATAAACACATATCGGAAAGTCTTGGCTACATTCAATGTGGGAATCAAACTTTTTATTTTATTTTATAGTTGACATATATATATATATATATATATAATTTTTATATTTCTCAAAAGTGCTGTTTCTTTATTTGTAAAACTTACTAAGTTCACCTCAGATTGCTTGAGAAGGTCTAAAATCTGTATCTGTGTGCTGCTCCTCTGTTTAAATGCAACAGCTTGACACTGGACAGCACATGAACTCGCTACATATTTGGGAAAGCAGCGGGGCAGGCGCTGCGTCATCACGTTCTTCTGTTGCTCCAGCTGTAGCACAGCAACAATGTAAGTAATGCACGAATACGTATGCAGCACAAACTCCGTTGTTATTTAGCTGTACGTGTTTAACCAGTGAACTTATTACAGGTTCAGTCCTACTTAATTGTTTTGGTTAGTTACTGGTGTGGTTAACTTAGGCTACATGTCTTGATCAAACACATAATTGTGAGTTAATGAACCGAGCTCGGATTTGAACCAACAACCTTTCAGTTACCAGTCCGGTTCTTTAACCACTAGTTTGTTGTGAAACCGCAATCAGTCCCAAAACCCAGGAGTGGTGAAGCTGTTAAGGAGAAGTTCAGCAACTCATAAAAACTTTAACCCCCTCTGAAGTTCACGTACCCTTTTGCGCCCGCGAGCTTCTGGCACCGAGGAGAAGGATGAAGAGGATCAGGATGGAGACCGCAGCCCCTCCGGTCCCTCTGCCCACCATTAACGACACGTCCATCCCAGCAGCCTGCAGTCCGAATGCATAATGCAAAAGTGTCCTGATCGAGTCACAGTCCTGATAAGTGCGCGCGAGTGAGTGTGTGTTTAGTATCAGGATGGTTTATTGACGCTTCCTGGACTCGTGAGCGGCACACTGTTAGAACAAACACGGGCTCTTCATTCCCCGATCTACTACACGACTTCCTCAACTTCCGCTCCTCCCACCACACAGCGGCCCCTAGATGGGAATTCTGTGGTATTCCATACATTGTTGTGGATAAGGAGAGTTCAGTGGTTTATTTTTGCTTTACGGAAAGATGTGCTCGGAACTAAATATCAACAAAACGCGAAAAAACACGAGTGAAAATAAATTATTATTATTATTAGACTAGCCGTTTTATATGAAGACTGTAATATGTGCATACATGTATATTTTTATGGCCATATTGTTGTTACATATTTAAAATAGCAATAATACTGACTATAATATTAATAACTTTTAAATTATTATTATTATTGGGTCTATTAATGAGATAGTTGACATTTTATATTAAGACTTTAAAAGCTGTGCATAAATTAACATTTTCTATAGCTTATTGATAGGCTAGGTAATGATTTATTCAATAATAATAATAATAATAATAATGACATTTCATAGGCTACATTTTCATATTATTATTATTATTACTACACCTAAAAGGACAAAACAGACCAAATATTTATTTTAAATACTGACAAATGGAATTCACTTTAATGAATGAATTGAGACTTTTATTGCTCAATCTATTTAACCTCAGTCAGACATCAAATGTATCTTGACATAGGCCTATTATGAATATCACACAGTAGCCATTTTGTTTTTCTGGTTGACATCATGGTTGTATGATATAAGATGATAAGCAAATTTACCTAAAACTATTAAACTCATCACACTCTGTTTGACCTCATAGCTGGTGAAATATAGAGGACCATCGAGATGAAGGCCATCTTTGATTTTGTAAATGAAACATTAAAAAAGAGGTATACTGTAAAAGCATCTGTTACAAATATAGAAATCTTTCTTTTAAAGATCCATGTTTAAATTTCTGTTTAATGTCTGTTGAAGCAGGAGCTCAGTCACTTGAGTTCACTTGAGGCTGGTGGCTTTATAATGTCCAGTTTCTCAAAGAACCACAGAAAGACGACTTATGACTGGAAGCTCACATCTGTGAATATGAAATTTTGCTAAAATAAGTATAAGATCAACTATAAATGAAATCAGTGGTTTGGAGGTTTTATTTCACATTCCCTTACAAATGAAAAAGAGTGGAAAGCATATTTTACACTACATTTCAAGCTTTCAGTTTCTATGAAGAGCCTTTGGGTAGTTTTAATACATCTACATGGGCTTTGATTGTTACCACAAACATAAAATTAGTGCACATTTCAAGCTACTTTCCACTTTAACATAAAAACGGTCAACCTCAGCACAGATAGGCCTACCATAAAGAAGTATATCTCCACAAAAACGAGTTTAAAATGGAAACAAAATGTCACAATCTCTTCTGAGTATTTGCAGACGATTAATATAATAAAAACAGGACTTCGGTTTTTGATGTAAATAATATGTGTTCTCTTTTAAATGCTTCACACGAACTGAGTTTGTTCATTTTCGTCAAAACGTATGAACCGCTCCTAGAATGAATCTGACTCTCCATCGGATAACCGTTCGAATTTTCCAACGCTATAAATAAGAGTATTTGCAGACGATTAATATAATAAAAACAGGACTTCGGTTTTTGATGTAAATAATATGTGTTCTCTTTTAAATGCTTCACACGAACTGAGTTTGTTCATTTTCGTCAAAATATCTGAGAAGGGTTAAAGTTTTGTATGTTTTCTCCCCTGGACCGGATTCTTCTCTCTCTCTCGTATTGTTTGTCGGTAAATCTAATTTCCTTTCTTTCTGTCCTTGGGATAGCTCAGTGGTGAATCAGAGTCCTTCAGCCAAGGCTGTTATCTTTTATCTTACAGCAAGTTCTGCTCTGCACGTACACGTTCTCAGTGTGCGGGACATCGGAAATAGCAGAGAATCATAAATATTAACGCTATGACCCCACCTAGTGGTAAAATAGCCTACTCCTTGTCATCTAGTTAAATGTTTAAAAGCACACGACTGCCACGCCGTGGAAATACGAGATAATGCAAGCAGTCTGTGGCCCCATAACAACAACAACAATAATAATAATAATAGCAATAATAATATTTATTTATTTATTTTCATTATGTGACACTTAAGACTAGAGTAATGCTGCTAAAAAAAATCAGCTTTGCCATCACAGGAATAAATTACATTTTAAAATATATTAAAATAGAAAACAGTTTGAATCTAATTAATCTGATGCAATAATATTTTTAAGTGTGGCTTAAGTGTCCAAATACTTGTTGGGACACTGTATCAAAGATAATCTTCCACTGATAGATTGGTGCTATAATCTTTGTGCCGTTTAACAGTCTATTAGAAACATATTCTTGACCTAAAAAGATCGTTTTTGAGTCTGCCTGTTCTTTTAAGTCTGCTTTTGGGTTAATGTGGGTCAGAGATGTCTGCTATGAGGGAGTGAGTTGATAAAAGTTCAGACGTGTCACACTATTCTGTCCTATTCTGTATGTCGAACACAGATCCCGTTTTTTCCTTTGTGCTTTCCATTAATTTTTTATTTATCTTCGTCTAGCTTGCTAGATATTTCTGGCATTCTTTAACTTCACACTTAAGTAGCTAAAAAAAAAAAGTAGCATGGCACTTTTACATAACGTTCTGGAAATCATGGTGTTCTATGAAATACCTTAGAATATCACTCTTATATAGGTCTTATCACTCAGCATACCCGGTTAAAAAAGTCACCGCTCGCCACTGATATATATATGTATAGAAGGTGTCATCCACACAAACACATAACACCACCATGGTAACACACGATACTGAAATAATGCAATAAACATTAATTTAACAACATTAGATGTAAGATAAAACCCTAATGCTATATATATATATATATATATATATACACACACACACACACACACACTGTATATATTAAATGTAGTCATTTGAATGTCATTTAAATGTTAATCTTGTTGTGTCCTTTGATGTGTTTTGTATCTATAAAGACCCATTTATACTTTGTGTGAAAATGCATGAAATGTATGCTACTGTATGGGCTATGTGTTAAAAAGTTTTCCATGATGGCAGTGCTGAACAGAACATGAAATCTAAATATTAATTGGTTACTGTGTATGAATAAACCAATTCACTTTCAATTTTAGCACTTTCAAATAAATTTTGAAAGTAATATTACTATTAATAATAATAGGCTACATGTTGTAAAAACTATATAAAATATAAATGAGTGAATAAATGAAGTGGCGGGCCATCTGCAGTTCAACTATTACGTCACGTCAGTCATTCTTGAGAAGTGGGACAAAACAGGGTGCAAAATTGAAAAAATAAAACCTTGTACTCAGACAAATGAAACTACATTTATGTATCTTATATGTACTAAGCTACCGAGCTATGCTTTGATACAACCTCCCAACTTTTCTCTTTTTTAACAAAATGTGCTTTTTTACCTTGGACTGTGTAATATAATTTCAGCTTTATCTTTAACAGCATTCAAGATGTTTTTAACATTTCAAAACACATTCTCATGTTAGCAGACAGATTACACTGTCACATGTGACCAACAATTCCACAACAAATATAAAATATCATAATTAAATATTATCAAAATATTCAACTGACGGAGTTGACACATCTAACGGTGGTGACGAAAACCTGAATTTGTAATAATTTTAACTATCAAATACATTGAATCAGTCTCCATCGGATAACCGTTCGAATTTTCCAACGCTATAAATAAGAGAGAGAGCATCATTTGGAATCAGTTTGAAAGAAGCTGACTTTTCGACTCTGTATAGGTGAGCGCGTTTGATTATTTCTTCGACTGAGCAATTAAAAACAGAGTTTGGTCGTGGTACACTTGTTGGTAAAAGGTTGTACTAGAAAAGCTACACTGACTACACTGAAAACATCTGAGCTACTGTCACTGAACTACGTCATGTAGTTAAGTTAGTATCGACGCTACTTTTATACTGTAAATATCGTCATGGTCACACAGCTCAGTTATAGAGAGCGACAATGGGATCGATACTAGTTAACTAGATTAAATACAGTTAAAAGGGTGCGGTCAATCAAATTTGCTGTTGTAGCTACAAAATCTAGTCATTTCAATAGGAATCCACGAGATCTCTTGGGGGCTAAATATGTCCCCGCGCAGATTTCGCAACGGTTTCGACTTGGTCAAAATGTGATTTTGTCCCTCAGGCCATGTCACGAGGGACAAAATGAAATGAAATGCATCAGCCGCATTCTCTGTCGCCAACCAGACGACCACTTGAAGTAATTTATTTATTTATTTTTGCTTACGGGGTGATGGGTAGGCTAAACCATTTAAAAATACATATTGGCAAAAAACACTAAAGAATCTGGGAACAAGACTGTATATGTATCTGTGGAATTACATGTTGAGATGAGATACAGACCCGCTTTAAACATCTATGCTGAAATTCCTAATAAGAAGTCTGTATAGACTTGGATGAAGGAGATAGACTAGTAAATCACGTTGAAGTTCCTTGGTCCATCTGGTTTCTTTCTCTGTGTGATGTCCATCAGTACTCTCTCATTCCTACTTCATGTGTATTTTCCTTTCCAGCAAGCATGGATTCCCACTGTAAACACAGCCCTCAGAAGAAACGTCTTCCTTGATTCCCTCAACCCCACCTCACATATATACATCTATACACACGTCTTTTCATTCCAATAAACAATATGCCCATTTAACCTTAAGGTCAGAGACTCTCCACCTTTCAGTCACTTTCACTATGGAGGCATTTGTTTAATTTGTGGGGAGATTTGATTGGATTCAGACTTGGTGGGTTGCAGAAGAGTAGAGTTTGACCACCATGCCGTAACATTTCCTTCACAGCTGAAGTCTAAGCAGACCACAGAGAGGAACTCAAATCAATTATTCTATTCTATTCTATTCGATTCTATTCTATTCTATTATGTAAAATGTATGAACACAATATCAAACCAAGTGGTGTCTGCAAACACATTTTCTCAGAATTTTAATTTTTCACTAATGTTTGTCAGCCACAATGTGTCCACTATATCATTTAAAATATAAAATTTGTTTTATACTATATTGTTTTGCTGAAAGTAATTTGCTTAAATGTATTTGTGTGTGAAACATGAATTATGATTGAGAGAGCACTTGTCTGGTGGTCTTTGGTTTATAGAGGTCA